TCCAAACATATAATGCAGTGATTGAGAGCTGAAGACATAAAGGCTCCTCAGAAGATGTGAGATGTTCTGGAGGCTTGTGAAGATCATTCCTCCGCTGAGGAACAGTGAAAGTAAAGCTTCTGGAAACAAACGCTCCTCAAAAGATCCTGAGGATCAGATTCGAGACTCTAAAACATGATTGATGGAGAATCAAGTAAAGCTGAGCTGCTTCAGTCCAGTAAGTGTTCATCTGGAGATATTACTGCAGTTATTCTGACCTTTACTTGATCAAAACCAGTCAAGACCCAGCTACAGTTACACTAAAAGAGCTCTGACTGGATAAAACACTCTAAACTATCAAGAAGGCATGGAGGAGATCGAGTGTGAAACAGGTTTACAGCAAATATAGAGGCCTTTATGTATCAAATATGATACAGTGGCATTATAGTGTTACATGTGTCCATTCAGAGATGTTAATAAAGTATAGTGTTAACTCTGTGAGTGTTTGACCTGGTTCTGGATGTCTTTGCCGATGAAGAAGTCTGTGACGTGCTCCGGCAGAAGGTTCTGCAGCAGCAGTCTGTTGACGTTCTTGGTCGTCTCCATTTCCTCCGTCTCTTTATTAAAGCACTTCTCCAGCAGGAACTCCGTCCGAGAGCCCAACTCGTCCTGCATCATAGTAAACACTCAGATTACTCCAGTGACACGGCGTGAGGTCTGCTCAAGTGGGAAGCTTTTTCCTTTAGTTACTTCCAACAAAACACAAAGATGTGTGGCCGAGAAGCGTTCCACTAAAATTATTTTGTGGTTTTGTTATTTTGAGGTATAAAACTGAGGTGTTACTTTATCATCATTATCATACACACACACACACACACACAAACAGACAGACAGTGAGATATCATAATAAATATTAATTTCCACTCAATTTATTGAAATTGTACAACAATCACTGTGTTTCTGGACACATGTTAGAGTTACAACACAAAAGAAACGTGGAATCGGCTCTGAATCTGGACTGTCAAACACACTAAATTTACAAAATCAATATTTGACTCTGTTTACATTCTTGATTCATGTTCCTGCTCTTATTATGGATGATAAATCAGTGACGTTATAATAAAGAAAAAATGTTTGTCTTCATAATCTTTCATCAAAATCTGACATCACTAATCCTACTTATTTTTCAACTGCCTTTAATAAAAAAAACTTTTTCCATCCAAAAAAAATCCACATGAATCAATTAAGTCCCACCTACATTAAATTTCTTATTAACTATATGAAATAGTCACATTGCTGAAATAAAATGGCAGCATGTAATTTTACTACATTGCACTACATTTTAATGCAATATGAAATTAATATATATTCAGAGATCTGTTTCAACACATTCTAAGCTAAACTTACAATTAATTGTTTATGCTAAATATTCATGCAAATGAAACTGCATCTATACTAAATATTAATGCCACTGATTGACACATTATTTAAATTAGGTCTGCACAATTAATCAAAATTAAATTAAAATAATTGCAAATTGCTATTATCATTTTTAATACATGTTCATTTTTACAGTACAATTGTATTATTAAAATAATAATATATTTCTGTCTTCATTTTTATAGTAAAAATAATAACAACTGTTAATATTATTGTTGTTACAAGAGTTAATTATGAATAATCCAATAAACTAAAATGAGTAATCCAATAATAATAGCTTTTATTTATATTGTTATTATACTTATACATAATAATAATAATTATTATTATAAACAATTAAAATTATATATTAGAATTATGTAAAATAATAACTGTTATAAATTAAAATCAATAATCCAATAATAACGATTGTTGTTATTATAGTTGTTGTAAGTGAAAATTAATAATAATAATGTTATTTTATATTGTTATCATATGTTATAAATAATAATTTTCAAATTGATTAGTTTGCTAAATATCACTTAGACACTATCACAGCTCAAGTAGGTTTCAGTCCACTTTAAAATGTTTGAAACAAAGTCAAAGCAAAGACATTTTTTACACTTTTCAGTCACTGGATCTCATATATTGCATTTATATAAAACTCAGTATATGTATATGTAACAAAATAATCACAGTAGTCCTGCTGAATCAGGTGTGTATGTGTGTGTGTGTGTTTGGCTCTTACGTGCTGTTGCCACTGTAGAGCTGTTTCATGTAGCAGTCGGAGCGCGGCGCATAAACGTGCAGGAAGAGTGCAAGATAAACCACCACAGCGAGAGTCAGGAGGAAGACTTTAACAGACACGCTCACACGCACGAACACAATCACGCCCAACATCGCCAGCAGACAGCAGTACAGATAATACTGCACACACACACAACATATGATCAATATGACATCAACACTAATGCAAATTATCATCTCTATTGACCATTTATAATATAAGCTAAAAGCTCACCGGGACAGTGTAGAGATTGAGAGTGTTCAGTACTGTTACATTGTGGGAAACATTTAAACAGTTATCGCCTGGGATAAAAACCTACAAAACAAACAGATAAAGTTTAAGATTTTGTACAGACAAAGACATTCTGTACAGACAGACATTAAGACATTATTTTCTTTTAAAACAATAAATTTAAACTTTATGGGATAGTCGATAGAACAACAAGAAAGTTCTTCAGTGAAGGTCAAAACTAATTAGATGCATTTTGATAAAACATGTATATTACAATTATAGACTTTCTTAGAGGATGTTCAAGCTAATCAAAAAAACATAAGCAATAGTAACACATTTGTGCAATAATTTTTACACAGACATGTTTGATTCTAACAGGATTAAATTCGCAAAGTTAGATTAACTATTTCACCTAAAACTCCTCAAGAAAAACTAATCAAACATCTATCAACTTTTAAGGCAAGACACCCCAGGTGAATATGATAAAAATGTGAATAATATATAACTAATAAATAATCACCATATTTTCCCAGTTGATTGATTGCATTAAAAATTACAAAGAAAAATTATAACTACAAGTTTTTTTAAATGTTATGTTTAAATGTGCAAGTGAACTGTATAAAGCCAAGTTTAAAATTCTTGTTTGATTTTGTTGACATATTAGAGTTAAAGGTTTTTACAGAGGGGATTTTGGATTTCTCTTTTTATTACTCCATAAATCAGAAAATACGGTCAATAGGCAAAAAAAAAAAAGATTTTCGCCATGTTTTTAGAAATAAAATGTTGTATAAGTTCATGCGAAAGACATATCAGCAAACCCCTCTGTAAAAACCTTCAGAATATAGAGAGGAATAAAACTTCTAAACCTGGTGTCTGTAAGTGCTGCTGAAGTAGAGATAAAACACAAATGGCCTTTAGAGATATGTATCGTAATTGAAATCTACAGATGTAAATAGATAAAGTGCAATAATAAAATCAGGCCTATGATATATGAACAACTCCTTCAGTAAAATCCTTCAGAATATAGAGAGGAATAAAACTGCTAAGTTTGGTGTCTGTAAGTGCTGCTGAAGTGGAGATAAAACTCATTTTAGAAAAAGGCCTTTAGAGATATGTATTGTAATTGTGAATTGAAGTGCCATAATAAAACAAGGCGAAATACATATCAACAAACCCCTCAGTAAAATCCTTCAGAATATAGAGAGGAATAAAACTGCTAAGTTTGGTGTATGTAAGTGCTGCTGAAGTGGAGATAAAACTAATTTTAAGGAAACCTCCTTTAAAGATATGTATCACAATATCGCAAATAGATAAAGAGCATTAAAATGAACACTTAAAATGTGTATTTTGGATGTTTTCTTTCTACTGGTTTGTAAGAACGCGCAACATTACAAGCATCTTTCTGTGGCGTGTAACCCGCTTTTGCAGTGTAAAGGCGGTTTTGTCTGCTTTGACTCTTTTGTCTCGTCACAAACAGTCCTGAGCTGATGTTTGTGCAGGTGTTTCTCAGCACGTTGCTGTTGACTCACTATGTTCAGCACTGCCATGAGCAGCGTGATGAGCAGACAGAGAAACACCAGCAGCAGCCGCAGCGCCGCCCTGGTGGCCACACCATCAAACAGCGTCGAGACCCAGCGGATGCTGCGGGGAAACTTAGAGTGCCAGCGCTGACACACAAACACATATTAAAACATTAACAAATAACACAAGACACTCCTTAGAATAATTATATAACTTCCTTTTGTTCTTTTTATTAACACATTCTTCATAATAATAGTAAGTGTTAACTATTTAAAAAGCCATAATGGTCAACCACTAATATGAATTTTCTTAAAACATACACACAAACTCACATAAATATGACAAGCAGTCATACCTTCAGGAACTTAGTGAAGACCACAAGCACAATCAGTATTTGGACAGGGAAAGTGGCACCGTACGACACCGCCAGCGCAAAATTTCTGTATGTGCACAAAGAAAACGTGTTCATTTAGAAAAATATAAGCAATTTAGAAAAATTTTTCCTTAATGTTTGTAATAAATAATAGGCAATGTGCATTGTGTTAAAATCAACATGAAGACAGTTTTACTACTGAAATATGTCCCTCGCCAAAATATAGATCAAATTTTTAATTTTTAATTTTTAAATAGTTTAATTTTTAGGATACAGTTGTAAAATTGTTTAATTTTTAGGATACAGTTGTAAAATTGTTTCATTTTCAGGATACAGTTGTAAAATTGTTTCATTTTCATTTTAGGCTTTTGTTTTTAGATCAGGGATTCCCAAACTTTTTTGTCAGCCAAAACCCTTTGAGCTAAAATATTACAATCTCTAAGCCCCTAGAGATTTTAAGTTTGAATTGTTATTCTAATAAAGCAATAATTCCCAAGAAGCCGTGGCTTACAGTGAATTTATAACAGCTAAGGGGCGTTGTTAAAAAACCCCCTTAGCTGTTATAAATTCACTGTAAACCAGGGCTTCACGTGGCTTATTGCTTTATTAAAACGGTTATTCCATATACGTAGTAAGGTTTCACAAAATAAAACAGAGCAAATAAAGTGTAATGATATTAATAAAAACAGTATTCTTCCACCAAACAATGTAGCTCCTCAGAAACAGTTGTGGTTGCAACAAAGTGGTTGCCGAGCAACAGACAAACGTAAACAAAGGTGTGTGTTTGTAGAGTAATTTACAACAGCTTCGAACGCGGCTCAGCCAATCAGAATCAAGCACCGGAACTATCCTTTTTATAATAATAATTATAATATAATGATTAGTAAAATTGTAATATTTCAGTAATTTTAATGATCACGCCATGCAGCTTAACAAATAAAATATTTAATCTGTTTTTGTAAGCATTTCATTTTGATTGTTTTTATTACATTTTTTTATTTATTTTAACACTTCTATCATTTAATTAACTATTAGATTTTCATCAACTCATGAACCCCAGTTTGGGAAGCCCTGCTGTAGAATAGCGTGGACTGATGAGCCATTCACAATAAGACCAGCAACATCTACTAAAGTAAATCAAGAGAAATGTATTTTCCTATTATTGTAACGTACGATACTCACTTTTGCGAGGTCAGCATCTGAACCACAAACACAGAGATGAAGATGAAGGCCAAACATATGACAGAGCGATGAAGCCCCTGGACTTCACTTAACGAATACTGACACAAACATACACACCGTTAGAACATAAGAGTGCAAATAATAATCAACTGGAAAAAACACATGCTTTTAAGTGAATAAATAATTCACACCTGTTTCTCCAGCTGAAAATGATTAAAAAATAACGTCACACTGTTCAGCTTTGCTCGTTTCCTAAACAATGAAAAGACGACACTGAGTCAAATATTATTTTATGACTCATTCACTGTGAAGACCGTGAATTCATAAATTGTTTGCTCACCCTTCATTTCCCAGAGAGTCTAATGAGTCTATCAGTCCGTTTTCCAGAACTTGTGAAGATCTGAGAAAAGAAACGAATGGGAATTACAAAGTTTTCACACTTGAGAACCAAATTCAGACCACATTTACGTCAACCACAAAACGAACTGTGTCCACCACAAAGTGGCCATAAAAGCCAGCTCCGATCCATTTTTGTTGCATTTTGATAGCAAACCAAACTAAGTTCAAAGTACTTTGTTTGGTACATATGCAAACTACTTTTATATCACTGATGCGAATGAATAAACCTTTAATTTTCACCTTGGAGTGTTGAACTCTGTGAGCACCTATTGATGAGAAAATAAACGAATGACAGGAATTAATATGCGCCATTTATGTTTTCAGTTGACCATATTCAGCGTGATTCTGTATGATTGGACAGTGATCATGATTGACACTGACTGTGGCTGGCTGTGGTTGGCTGATGCTGTCAGAAGTGGGTGGGGCTGCGAGCGAAGCCTCTGGTTGGTTAAGTCCAGAAAACGGTTTGACTGTTTTCCAGGACTGCAGGTACTGGGACATCCGAACCGACGCGCGGAGCTTCTGACGGTTCACAGGTTTGTTGTCCACCTTCAGCTCATGAGTCTGAGACACATGAAAACAACCAGAGAAATTAATACTTTTATTTATAAAGGATGCATTAAACGGATCAAAAGTGCCAGTGAAGACATTTCTAATGTTTCTAACGATTTCAAATAAATGCTGTTCTTTTGAACTTTCTATTCATCTGTGAATCCTGAAAAATAAAATGTATCACAGTTTCCACAAAAATATTGTGCGGCACAACTGTTTTCAACATTGATAATAATCAGAAATATTTATTGAGCAGCAAATCAGCATATTAGAATGATTTCTGAAGATCATGTGACACTGAAGACTGGAGTAATGATGCTGAAAATACAGCTTTGATCACAGAAATAAATTATATTTGAACAGATATTCACAGAGAAAACAGCTGTTTGATATTATAATATTATTTCACTATTTTTACTGTATTTTTTATTAAATAAATGCAGCCTATCGATTTTATCGATTCATTTGATTAGACAGGATTTGGGAAAAATAAAAGTATTTTATAGATTCCTACAGCAGATAACTGGTAGTCAATAATGAATATTGTTGATCACCTCAGGTGTCGTGTTGGAGTTTTCTGCATTAGGATCGATGACCAGGAACGTTCTCTTTCCCTTCAGTGTGGAATTGCGACTCCCGCCGTTTCCTTCCTCCACCTGGTATTTCCCGTCCAGGTGAGCGAGCGTGTCCTCTGTAATGTGGACTCTCCTGTGAGAAACCATCATCATCAGAATCATCACCAATAATACTACGGTAATCAGACCTGAGAGGTGTAAAGGTGTGGTACCCAGGCACTCCTCCAGACTCCATGTGATTGGCTAGAGTCACGTCATCTGACCAGACGTCGTACTGCCACTTCTGAAGGCCGATCACGCCGGACAGGACATTACCCGTGTGCACGCCAACACGCATGTTGATGTTCACGTCCGTTGCCTCCCTCAGCTTACTGCAAAAAAATTATCTCACTTTAAGACCCGAAACATTTTCGTATGTTGACTGAAATAAAATAAAATATGGACAGGACATTACCCGTGTGCACACCAACACGCATGTTGATGTTCACGTCCGTTGCCTCCCTCAGCTTACTGCAAAAAAATTATCTCACTTTAAGACCCGAAACATTTTCGTATGTTGACTGAAATAAAATAAAATATTAAACTAATTTAATAAAATAATAATTGAAAAATATTATTAACAATATAAAAAAACGAATAAAAATTGCAGCATTACAAAAATTTTAACTCAAGTGAAAACAGAAAATATAACAATAATTTTTAAATATTAAGAAAAACTATCATAGCATATCTGTCAGACCTATGTTCCTGTTTTGTTGTGTTTTCTCCCCATGTGCTTCCCGTGACCTAGTTTTCCCTTGTGTTTGATTGTGTTCATTGATCTCAAGTGTGTCTCATTAATTCCCTCATTTAGTTGAGTATTTAAAGTGTGTTCTGCCCCTTGTACCCTGTCCAGTGTTAAACGTCTGTGTCCTACGTGTGTTCCTATGTTAACCTTTGTTTGGAGTAATAAAGACTGTTCTACGTGAATTCTCCTACGTCTCCGCACTCCTTCGCTCCTACATAGTAGGCATTCGTGACAGTATCAATGATATTAATATAACACTGTTATTAAGATGCTTTTTGATCATCGGACTCACTTTATGGCCATGCACATATCCAGACCCATCTGAACGCAGTTGCGAGCGTGATGAGAGATCGGATCAGGAAGACCCGACACGCAGTAATAACAGTCGCCCAGGATTTTAATGCGCAAACAGCCGTTCTTCTACAGAGAGTGAGAGAGAAAGCAGAAGAGAGAAAGGGTTGAGCACATAAATTACATTTTTTTACGATTGCTTACACACTAAAATTAAACTTTTCCAACAATTAGCAAAACCTTACACTCAAGGAGCAAAACACAAGGCTAGATTTGCACAACTGTAAGCACATTGTCAGCTTCACACTATTTGCAAAACATTACACACAGTGATTTGCAAAACACTAAACACACTTGTATACATCAGACACAGAAGTTTTCAAAATTGTGCTTAAGCAATCGTAAAAAACTGTAAATAGAAACACAGAGAGCAGCAGTAACGCAGATCCTCGCTGACCTTGGCGATGTCGTCAAACCTGCCGAAGAGTTTGTTGAGGACGGCGACGAGCTCCTCGGGTGTGCAGGTGCTGGACAGGTGCGTGAAGCCCACGATATCAGCGTACAGGATACTGCCGACCGAAATCACAACTTAAATAAACTATAACAATAAGAAACGGAGCAATTCCAATAGGGTCAATAGCAATTCCCTCGCACTGCAGTGCTCGGGGCCTAATAATCGCTGTCTGTGAGGGCTTGAGCTTTGGGTTTGTGTGTAATCAGTATAGTCAGCTTCATATAAAAACCAAGGAAATGCTTTGTGTGTGTGTGTGTGTGTGTGTGTGTGTGTGTGTGT